TAATTTTACATTTTAGAGGGAAGAAAGTTAAAAGAAAGATATTTATAAAAATTAAAATTAAAATTTACTCATTTTATAATGATAAAAAAAATATTATGAAAACTAAAAATAATATTTATAAAATTTTAAAAAAAATATTTTAAAGACCAAAATTAAAATTTATTTATTTATGTTATTAGAAACATATTTAAATGTTAATTATATTAGTCACGCACATAAATCGGCACGGAAATAATTTACTGGAAAAGAGTTGCTTATATATCTATCTCATAAATCCGCACGGAAACAATTACCAATAATATTTTAAGGGAAGAGAGTCGTTTATATATTCTGTTGAAAACAGAAAGTACCATTTTTCTGCAGAATAACAAACAAAATATCTCAAATCATTTTATTTTAGAATCATTATAATTAAAGTAGAGAATGTTGTACATGCCCTGTCATCGTATTATTAATCAACACATATCATAAGTTTATTGACATCTCAATAATTATGTTAATTGTCTTGTTAACAATAATTTATAATTAATTAATTTAATAATAATATGCATAGAAATTAATTTTTATTACAATTAGGCAATAGTATTAAGGAAGACCTCGAAAAGGTTGATTCGAGAGTCCATAAAGTAAAAGCAATCCAAAAGGTTCCTATGATATCGATCCTAAGAAAGTGGAAGCTTCACAATATAGATGGCCACCATTTCATCCAGTAAATTTGTAACAAAAGAGTAATTATAAGCTAGCTGGCTTCACTATGCATGGGTTTCACCTGTTTCTTTTTTGACAAGAAAAGGCATGCACGAATCTCTTAAGACACTGCGGGTTTGTTCATGGATTCTCTTTGTTTACAAATTCTGTGATGTGCACTTGTCTTTGTCCACTTTGGAGGGTGCATGGCACATGTTATGCCGTGAAGATCGATGTATGAGGATTGATGAAGCGATGGAAGGTAGCCAAAGACTGAGCTTAAACACCACAGACATAAAGGCCTGTGCTGCAATGTTTATTCTAAAGCCACTCAATCAATTATTAATGTTTGTAGACTATATAATAATGATTCCTTTAATTTATTTTATTATATATATGTCTCATCTGCCATGATTTTTAATTATAGGTCCTACTTGTTAAATAATTATATTATTGGAAGAATCTTCAGACCCTATCTACTTTGATTATTCTTAAAATGAAGTTTAGACATATAATTTAACTTTATAAAATTGATTTATAAGTAAAAATTATCCGAACTTATATTTTCTATTTTTTCAATATATACAAAAGGAAGTGAAGATCAATTCATTATTATCCTTTAATTCAGTGCATATATCAAATACAATAATATATTTAGATTGTGATCTTACTCTACTTCAACAGGATTGTATACGGTAGAGGGATCATACGTGTTTTCTATTAAAAAAAAATACCTTATACATGTTTAATGCAACATGAACTTAATATACTTCATTCACTCACATTAGTCACATAGGCGTGCAACCTGACAGGTATTACTGGAGTATTTCCAACAATAACCAAGTATTCACTTGTTGATTGTTCAAACCGTATTATTTCCACGAAATGAAGTCATGGCGAAATAAACCCCAAAGAGATGGTGCAAGATATGAACAAGAGTTTCTACCAAAAATTCTTAAAATTTTTACATATCTATTAAATTGAGTTTGTACCAAAAATCCTTAATTAATTGTCGCACATCACCTTTCACATACATCAAATATATCCATACAGCTCTTAAATAGTCATTAACAATCGTGATAAAATAAAATACACCACAATTAAAAGCAATTTTATAATTATCTCAAATATCACAATTAATCAAAACAAACACAGTCATTACTCGAAAAGAAAGGTAAGAGAGACACAACTTTTCACAAAGGATATCCTAGTCGTTGATGTCATAAATCATGCCTCTTGAACATAGTTGTTTGATAAACCTGAATCCACTGTTGCAACTTGAACCAGTAAACCCCATCACTTTGCTCACCGGCTCCAATTAGGGTCCTCGAATTGCGGTCTCGTATCACACAAAGCTTATTAGTGAAAGTGATAAACGAATTAGAGGTAGTAAGTAATTGTGAAATAGATATCAAATTGCAATTTAGTCCGGGAACATATAAAAACACCATTCATCGTCAAATTGGCGTCCAATACACCACCCTCCCTTCCCTGTGTTGTCAATATTTGTTTACCGTTTGGGAAACCCATCAAGGAATGTGACACCCTTTACCTCACATACCATAACACAAATAACAAAAATTGAATAACATAATTTTTTTTTTCATAATTGAAATACCACACATGTTTAAATAGAGGGTATCCATAACTTAAACAGTAGCTTAATCAGCGAAAATTACATAAAAATAATATAAGGTATTCCTAAATAAGTTTATAAAAACATTCTAATCTAATTTTATCTATGCCCCGGTGTCACATGTCCTATCAGAGCAAATCCCAACATAGAAGCCTAAGCTTCATCACCAACATCCTCAGTCTCATGCTGATAATTACCTGTAAGACAGTTAAGGAAAAACAACACAAGAAAAGGGAGTGAGAAACATCTCACTCTGGCTCACAGTGTAGAAATATACGCCGGATAGCCAAACACAAACAAAACAGGTATAACATAGATAAATTAATAAAATCATCACATCTTACTCATCCAAGACATCAATTTTTCATATAACATTAAAATGCACATGTATGGACACGGACTACATTTTATCATGCATGTGGCGCCAGTAACATATCACATGGCATATTGTCGCTAGCAATACACGAAGAGTAGTCTAGGAGTACATGTCGGGTCACACCCTCTGCGCACTCTCACTAGAAGGACATACTACCAGAGTCTCGTCGGGATAGTTAAGCCGCGCAAGATACATCCCATGCACACAATGGGCGAGACTGGGACTTCCAAACCGAGCTATCCCCAAGGACTAATCCCCAAAGCTTTTACACTAGGGGGCCTTCTCTGGCGGTGTATTCCATATCGTACCCTTAAAAATATTTATGCACATGATGCATGTCAATCAAGACTCTATGCATTCTCGTATCACATTATTATCATCACATCTCATCATCACATTTCATCATTATATTTCATCATCATATTCACATTACCACATTATCACATTATATTCACAATTCTCACAGAGCACTTTAATCCATATTAAAACTCATCTATTTGCGAAATTAAATACATATTTACACTCTGTAAACATTAAGGAACAAAACAAAAAACTCAAAAGGTAAAACAGAAAACATTTAAGATTTGCATATTTCTCGTATGATTCCCACAGGAACCCACAGAGCACTCTAATTCATATAAAAACATATTCATTTTCAAAATTAACCACATCCTCATGCATCACATCCAACAAGGAACACAACAAAGCAATCAGAAGGCAAAACAGAAAACATTCATATTTTGCTCGTTTTCTCATAGGGTTTCCCGTAGGAACCCACATAAATCTCAAATCATACAATTACATACAAGAGGAACAATAGATGAAACATATACAATTGGGGAAAACCCCTCATACATGAGCAGAACAAATACAATAAACACAGGATTGGGGGTCAATCCCACTACCCAACATATATTCTCACACCTAAAGCGAGATTTCTCACTCCCCCTTACCTGGATGAGCAGAAGACGAATGATCTTGGTTTGATCTAAGATCGTTCCTGAGTACTCTTTCTTAGAGCTCTTTGTTTCTCTCTTTTTTTCCCTAACCCTTCAGAACGCAAATGAGGTAGATAGGGTTAACACTACCTGACTCCTTTCTTAAAATTAATCTATTGGGCTGGTTCAACCCAACTCATTTTCCTTCTCTTCTAACCCACTTCTCTTTTTCCTCAAAATAATTAAATAAAATAAATACATGTATATTATAAAATACTTTTCATCTATAACAATAATATATTTCTGACCCAAAATATAATAATATAATTTCAATAACAAAATATCATATAAAATCAACCTTCTCTTAAAACATATAGATATTTATTTTAAAAATGCTTATAAAATTAATTATTTAATACATACAAAATAATTGTCCAAAACAATAATTATTTAAAACGTACAAAATAATATTTCTCTATAATTATTAAAATAATTATGACCAAATACCATATAATAATAATAATAATAATAATAATAACCTTTTTTGAAAACTTGGGTGTTACAAGGAAGATGGCACATCCAACAAGGCAACAAGGTTGTGAACAAATTCTTATTCTCACTCATGTGATTCGAACATCTATTCACCTAATATTGAGATACTTATCGTCAACGTCTTTATCACCCATTATTATGAATGAGAAAAGAAAAATTATGATAATGATAATTAACCAGCTCTTGATACCATGTTAAGATATGAACAAGAATTTTAGAGAAGAAAACAATCTTCTATATTAATATTTATTATTTTAGACGACTGCCCCTCTATTATATATAAAAAGAATTAGATTAATTAAATAATTACAAATAAAAAACAAATCAGGAAAATAATCAGGTTTTAAATCAAGAAATTAATCAACAGATTATACATAACAAATATTCTAAATATATGTCAAAATATATTAACAATCTAAATATTTTATATCTATATTATTTTGCCACTATTAGTAAATGTAAGAAGCTATTTACTAAGTTAAGAGTAATCTCACCCTTTTCTTCTTCCGTTTTACTTACTTTTTTAATCACACTCACAAAAAGAGTGCGTGACTGAGATCATGGAAGCTGGTGGAAGCCTTACTATCTGTTTGATACAAGCTTAGAAAAGTTTGGATTTTTATAGGAACCTTCTGAAAAACACTTAAAATTTGTATTCAAATAGGTCTGAATAATTCTATACAACATGTATGGTAATTAATTATCAGAAAAACACTGCAACGCCGTGTGAAAGAGCCAAAGGCGATCTCAAAACCATGGAGAAAGCATATATTGCATAAAAGAGTGCAACGCACCTGAGCAGAGTTATATACTTGGGTGATCAATATGAACAACTAAACAAGTAGTTGAATACAATAAGTTAATCTTATATCATCTTTATTCGTTAACATAATATGTACCAGTACAAGGTAGAAGCAACATTAATGAGTAAATCACATTCTTGAGAAATAAACAAATATACATAAGGTTTCATATTATGCATTTTCAGCAGCCGGATCAAGTTGATGAAGTTCAGATTCTGAAACACGCTTCTTGTATTTGGCAATGAAAGCTTCAGCTTTCCTGTCAATACCAGGCTCAGCAACACCCCAGTTACCTTTGTCATAATCACTATGGCACACCCTGCGTCCAGAATCAGGGGCATCATAGTACCCTCCTCTGGACTTTTTAGATGAGAAGATGTTGAAAATAAAGAAACTGGAAGAAGACTTCTTTTGCCTATAACCTGCCATAATTGTGCTCGTTTTTTAGCTAACAATATGACTACACTAGTCACTGTGAGGGGGAAGACAATGAAGTTGGAGGAAATTGTCTTGGTTTTGAATTCACAAGGTAGTATGACTCATTTATACTGGAGGAAGCTTGAAATGCATGAGTGGTGAATTGTGAAAGAATATGATAAAGGAGATGTAAGACCAACATAAATGGTTCAACTTGTGCTAACATGGCAGGGAATAAACCAAAAGTTTGTTTTGCAACATCTTTGTCGAGACACTTTTGCTGTGATCCGCTAGTTTCGTACTTGACTTAAACAAGCTTTGTGAGGAAATTCCAACAACAACGCTCGATTGTTGGCTCTGCTTTTGTACTTTCCTTTCTTCTCAAGATTCACGTTATTATTGGCACTTTAACTAAGTGCACGATTGTATTTCCGGTTATTACCAACTTGCATTGCATGCATCTGTTTACTCTCTCGCATGAGAATGGTCCACACGTCCAAGATGTACTGCACAAGATCTTTACTAATTTGTTTAATTTGATTTATGAATTATGTCCATCAGACTATTCCGTTTACACACATGAAAAAAACATTATACATATATTTTTAAAAGAAAATATGTATTTTACGAATAAACAGCATATTTTAAATTAGTTCATAAACTAATTAAACTAGCCTATAAAACAAGTATTTTGTGGGGATAAAATAGTTTTGTATCAACTCATGAATCCAAATTGACCCTACCTAATCATTTTGGGTTAAATTTTTTGAGTGATTAAATTAAATTCAACACAATCAAAACTTATTTATGTGTGAATTTGATAATAGATTTTGACTTTCAAATCCATTTCAACTCAATTTAATTCATACATACATTAGTTTGTATTGTTTTTTTAGTATGCAATTTTGGTAGAAATTTTTTTTATATCAACTCATGAAGTCAAACTAACTCAAATCAACTAATTATTTTAGATTAATTATTTTTAATATTTAGATTAAATCCAACTCGATCAAACTCATTTATGTGTGGATTGGATAATGGATTTTGACTTTTAAATCCAAACTAACTCAATCCATTTCATATACACATTGGTTCTATAATTTTTTGACTTTATAATTTTGATCCTTTAAAAATGTTTATTACGAATTTAGTCTTCTTAATTAGTTTTAAGAATTAAGCAATATTAATCCATCATCCAAAATTAAATAAAAAATGTTGATATTAAATGTGAATGCATAAAAAAAATAATTTAAAATTAAGCATAAAATTATTTTAATAGATTATAAGTATGAATTAAAATAACAAAGAAGCATAACATTTTTGAACTAAAAAGCAATGTTCCTTATATGAAAGCTAATGCGGCTAAATAACTGTCAGATAATGTTACTCACCTTTCACGCAACATCTTTTGTTTAATTGTTTATGGTATATTCATGGTGCATCCACGTTGTTTAATTTTGAAAAAATAGAGAGAACAAATTTGCGATAAAAAAAAGATTAGGAACAAAAATTGCACTTTCATAAAATTATAGGACCAAAACTTAATTTAAGCCTTTATTTTTTAAAATTTTAATTTTTATAAATATATTATATTAATAAAATTCATTACCAGTTCTTAAAGTGAATTTAATATAGTTGTTACACCAATTAGTGATAAAGTAAAAAAAAAAAATATATATA